AAAAAAAAAAAAAAAAAAAAAAAAAAAAAAAAAAAAAAAAAAAAAAAGCGGGAAAAAAGGGGAGCGCTGAATTGTGTACATAAGAAATTTAAAAATAAATGAAGAAAAAAATTGACTCGTGCAAATATTTAATGACTTTTAATATGTATAGATAAGAAGATAACTAACTATATTTGTGTGTGCGTAAGTAAGTGGGGAAATACTAAAAAGGGCCCAGAAAGAAGAAAAATGTTGTCCCGTCAATGAAACGCAATTCTTCAATTTTAAGTATATACATATTAATATAAAATAATAAATGAAAGATAAAGAAAATATGTATAGTATAAGAGTTTTCCAACACAAGGAGAACACATGTGTAAAACACACATACACGCACACTCGAATACATACACACGAAATGGAAGTAAAAAGCCACTTGTACATCACATAAATGTCCAAACAGAGATTTGCATTGTGATTATAATTATTGTATCAAAGTAAAGTTTTTTTTCGTTCATTTTGACTTGGTTTTCAATTGGGAATTCCGCTTCGCAGTCGAATTGTACAACGACCCCAATTTTCATGCGAGGATCGCGTGATTTTGTAAATACGCTTTATATAGTTATACATACAGTAAGAAAGAGCGTCGTGCGCACGTATGACACATTTTTCGAGTTTAATAAATTGTTATCATTATTGCTCATCTTAATTATTATGATTACGATTAGTTGTTGTGGTAATTATGTCGTATCGTCATTATTATTTGTACAAAAATTAATGTTACAATTTTTAAATAAACAATGAAATCCCAGTTACATATTTTACAGTGTCCGTAATTTTTCCCTTTATTTCTTCGACAATGAAATGGTACAAGAAACGTAAATGATAAATAATATCTTCGAAGTGATTAGCCAAAAAAAAAAAAAGTTCCATACTCCGAGCGCCATTATTTGAAAAAACATTTAAAAAAAAAAATGGATTGTCAACTGTTTGGTTGATCAATCCCAATTTTCAGCCATGGACGTTTGTTGATGGCTAACCTTTTTTAAATTTTAAGTTAACGTTTCGCGAAATTCGTCAAAATTTTTCGTAATAAAAATTCACAAGTAACCACCACCCACGAATAATAAATAAAAACTACAAAATGCGCGAAATTGTGAACATTCAAGCAGGCCAGTGTGGCAACCAGATTGGATCTCGGGTAAGTCGTGAGATGCAAAAAAAAAAAAAAAAAAAAAAAAAAAACAGTGACCGCAATTTGACGCGTCAGTACTCGCCAGTAGTAAATATACCTTACCTAAACGAAGAGCAAAAGTAAATATGAGGAAAAAAAAAATTATCCAAAAAATGCCCACCAAATGACAGTTCTGGGAGTTGATATCCGGCGAGCACGGGATCCACACGGACGGCTCGTATAAGGGGACAAACGAGATCCAGCTGGACAAGATAAACGTCTTCTTCAACGAGACGATATACAAGCGCTACGTGCCTCGAGCCGTGATCGTCGACCTCGAGCCAGGGACCATAGACGCGATCCGGGCGAGCACCTTCGGTGACATATACCGTCCCGACAACTTCATCTTCGGGCAAAACGGCTCGAGCAACAATTGGGCCAAGGGCCACTACACCGAGGGCGTCGAGATAGTCGACCAGGTGCTCGACGTGGTGCGCCGCGAGGCGGAAAACTGCGACTGCATCCAGGGCTTCCAGCTGACCCACTCCCTCGGGGGTGGCACCGGCTCCGGGATGGGCACCCTCTTGCTGTCGAAAATCAGGGACGAGTACCCCGATCGGATAATCAACGCCTACTCGATCCTCCCCTCGCCTAAGGTCCAGGACACCGTGGTCGGCCCGTACAACGTGCTGCTCTCGCTCCAGCAGCTCGTCAATCTCACCGACTCGACCTTCTGCGTCGACAACCAGGCGCTCTACGAGATCTGCGTGCGCTCCCTCGAGATGCCCAGCCCGAGCTACTCGGACCTCAATCACCTCGTCTCGCTCACCATGTCGGGCGTCACAACTTGTCTGAGGTTCCCAGGTGGGTCTATTAAGTGGGATTGCACGCATGTTTTTTTTTTTTTTTTTTTGTTATTAACTTTCATCAACGGTCCATCCCACGCGAATCAGGTCAACTGAACGCCGATCTGCGCAAGCTAGCTGTCAACATGGTGCCTTTCCCGCGACTCCACTTTTTCCTGTCCGGCTTCGCGCCCCTGATATCCCAAGCCAACAAAGACTTCAATGGGCTCACAGTGCCCGAGTTGGCCCACCAAATGTTCGACTCGAGAAACGTTATGGCCGCGTGCGATCCTCGCAACGGAAGGTCCCTATAACAGAAAATTCTTACAATTCGTGTGCTACAATTGTCATCTGGTGTTGTTTGTGCCGTCCAGCCATTCAAATGGTGCAAATTACATTGAGAATAAAAATTAAAAATTCCCTGGATTACCGTTGTAGCACAGGAATTTGAAGTAGTTTTTCTTTTTTCTCTCTCACTGTTACCAATTATGATTGTGTTTTATGGTTGCTTTGAGCGTGAAAATCTTCATCAGATACCTGACGGTGGCAGCGATTTTCCGGGGGCAAATATCTATGAAGGAGGTGGACGACGAGATGTTGAACGTCCAGAACAAAAACAGTTCGTATTTTGTCGACTGGATCCCAAACAACGTGAAGACCGCCGTGTGCGACATACCGCCCAAGGGGCTCCAGATATCGGGTACCTTCCTCGGGAACAGCACCGTCATTCACGAGCTCTTCAAACGCGTGTCCGAGCAATTCGCGGTCATGTTCAAGCGCAAGGCCTTCCTTCACTGGTTCACCAGCGAGGGTATGGAAGAGAACGAGTTTACCGACGCGCACGCCGACCTGCTCGATTTGATAGCTGAGTATCAGCAATACGAGACAAGCAGCGGCTCCGAGGCCAACGATTATAATGTGGCTAACATCGGCGACATGAGTGCCATCGAGGAGGAGACGGACGAGGAGGTGATTGTACAGGATTGACTGGGATGGGGGCGTTTATTTCGCCACATTTGGTCTGCTTTTTAAATTTTTCCCAGAGTTTACCTTCATTTTTACAATTATGGCTTTTTTTTGTTATCCTTTATTCGTACCATATTGGGAGTATTCAAATCTATGTGAGTGTTTTTAATTCTTATTTTGGCTCTGCGTAAAATTGCAAAGTGTGTTTTTGTACATCTGACGCCTCCTTTCTCACGGAAATGTACATTTTACCTCAAGTATCACTGATCATTGGTTTTCTTGCATAACCCGTCGTTAATTTGTCATGTGTGATCAGAGTGCAACAAGCAAAAAACAAAAAACAAAACAAAAAATCAAATTTACAATCGAACATGTTTTTTTCTTCTTCAGTGAAGAAAAAAAAAAAAAAAAAAAAAAAAAATTTCAAATGAATACTTTTTATTTTTTAACAAAATTTGTAACGATTCGTATATAATTACCTTATGTGCAAAATATCTAGGGCACGAAAATTTTTTTGTTTTCTTGCCATATTTTTACGCAAACTATCTAAAAAATAAAAAATAAAAAAAATAAAAAAACAACACTTGAAACAATCAAGAAAATCTTACGTTACTCCTTCCTTTGTCAACGTAAATTTTTATAACACGAGTATCGGTAAGAAGAACATTCCATACTTGTCAAAGTACAAGCAAGCACTCCTTGCATCGAAGTATATATATATATACAATATCAAATATACACCGTACATGCACGCATCACTGTTCTTCTTCATCTTCATCTTCTTCTTCTTCATCTTCCTCTTCCTCGCGGTACCTCGTGTCCGCCCCCAAACCACGGAGGTAATCGCACACATCTGCGTGAGCGTTATTCAACGCTACCATGTAAGCCGTAGATCTCGAGTAATTCTCCTGGTCCAAATCGCAGTTTCCACTCTGCACCAAAAGGCGAACCAAGCCCAGAGAGCCATCCTCGGCCGCCAAATGCAAGGCCGTCTTGCCAGTAAGGATTTCCGTCGTCTTTACACTCGCACCGGACCGTAGCAGATAATGGACCATCGCCTCGTTTCCATTCTTCACAGCTATGTGCAGGCAAGTTTTCCCTGCGAAATAAAAACTATATTGTTACAGTGTGACTCGTGGCGCGTTGCACATTGTACCGTGACAGCCGGGGATCTCGTGGTAGCGGTATACCGACCTTGGCAATTTTTCGTCTCGAGGTTGAAATCCGGCCTCGGGCGATTTTGCGTGTCCTCGTGCAGCGCGGGCAGTTCTTCCGGAGTAAAGGGCGACGTGAGGGCTGCGAGGCAGTCGAGGTCGTTGCTCATGCAAGCCAAGTGCAGGGGAGTGTTGCCGTCCTCGGTTTGCAGCTTGGCGTTTGCGCCGGAGAGCACGAGTTGGCGGGTGACGGATGAGCTGCCCGACAGGGTGGACAGGTGCAGCGCCGTGTGCACGTCCGAGTTAGGCAGGTCCAGGAGGTCGCTCCTCGCGCCGATGGCCTCGATGAGCCACGCGGCGGCGCTTTCTAATCCCCGTTGAATGACTCTGGTCAGTTCTCTGGAAAAAAATTAGGATTGAAGCGATTGTTATCGTTTTTTTTTTTTTTTCTGCACGACGATACAATATTTACTTCTTTTTATTGCAATATAAAGTATATTCATTTGCCTAAGGGCGTTTACGAATTTTTTAGGAATAATAGTCTGATTTTCCAATTTAACGCTTGAAAATTAAGATTACTTGTTTATGTTCCTGGTAATGAAGAGTTTACTTCAATGCGACTTCAATGAATTGTTGGGCGATAAGTATGAATGTGACAGTGCGTGGCGATAACAAGAATGAAAATAAAAACAAACGCGAGGCTACGCTGACTCTCGATCTGATGTCAATAGTACCCGTACATCACAAATCCACGAGTAAATAGTTTCAAATCAAGAAAAATGCAGCATTTGATTGATTATCACAATTACGATGTTAAGGCAATTTTTATTTTCATTTTATTTAATTTATTTAATGCGCACAACAAACAAAATGCGTACACTTGAGTACGAAAAATTGACTCACGTGTTTCCGTCGTCATCCTGCTTGAAAAATTCTTCGATGGGCACTCCTTTTGCACGTATTTTATGGATCCACTCCCAAATTTTTTTATTGTTCGCAGCAACAACCTTGTCCATATCCTTCTCAAGCTGCGAGGAAAAATTCTCCATGTCCACGTCGTCTATGTCCTTAATGCTTTTTCTCACTTCGTTAATTTCAATCTCAGTCAAGCTTATCGAAGCTGCGTTATTAGCCCTTGGATATTGATACCCATTTTTGATGCACTTGATAGGAACGAAGGGAACTTCGAGGTACTTAATATATACGCGGATTGAGAGCGATTGGTAGGATAGAGCCAACCGGGTGATCAGCTACTACTTAGACCTACAGGCGTATGGGGCAGTAAAGGACAACGGAGGGGAGAAGGTATAAACGAAACTACGAGAGAGGAACGCTGACGAGTTTCCAGAACGTTATGACTCAAGTATCGCATAAATCGAGTTACAATTTTTCGAAATGTGAATTAAGATAGTTTAGGTGAGGGCCAATTTACTTGACATTTTCCATACTTACTGGAATTTTCAGTGTAGAGTACCTTATTTTAAATACTCGGAGAGCATCTATTAAAATTATACGTTCGCGTACCGATTGGTCGGAAAATCCGAGGTGGCTAGTAGTTTTATGTCACGTTAATGTTAAAACAAATCTCATCAAAAATCCAATTTCATATATCAGTATTAGTTCAAGTATTAGACTATTGAGAACGAGATTAGGACTAATAACTACTTGTACTTTTGTCAAGTGCCGCTTATAAGTGTAATTTTTACCTTCATCCGCTAAAAATTCAACACTTTTCTCTAGTTTTATAACATTTCTTGTAAAATCACATTTTTTTTTATTTATAAAAAAAGTTTTTAAGGAAATTTCCTTTCGGTTATAAAGAGTACTTTCCTCACTTTCAGCTTCAAAGGATATCATTTTCCAGTGGAGAGTACAAAAGTACTCCCCTAATAAGCAGGGGCTAAATTAGTTGTTGCATACGCAGGTCTGGAAGAAAGTGGGGCTTTGATAATTTTCCACTCGCAGCCGCGGTTTTGGTGTCAAATCATGTCCAGGAGAAGAAAATCGTACTTCTCAACTTGTACTTGTAACTAATTTTTCTCCTCAACCCTGGGAATTCACGTACGGACCGTAAAAATGTGTATAGTGTGTCGTCAATCCGTACGTTAAAGTACGAAAGTCAACAGATGTGCTATAATTAATTCATTTGAATAATAATTTTACTTTATTCAATTGATTACTTTAACGTTTTTCATAAATAACATACTTTTTCTGTCTTTAATGTACGAATCTTTACAGATTTTTTACCATAGGTAAAAACGATTTGACTTTGAATAGTTACCCATGAAAAAGTCTCTGTTTGGAAGTGGAGTAGAGTAAGGATTTCACAAAAAGTTCACAATTAAGAGATTGACTTTGTATTTTGTAACTAAATTAAAACATATACAAATGAACATGATTTATTTGTACTTACAACAATTTTATAACTACAGGTATGGATATTAAATATAAAAACACTATTATAAATTCAAAAATTTTTTTTTTTTTTTTTTGTTATTAACTTTCATCAACGGTCCATCCCACGCGAATCAGGTCAACTGAACGCCGATCTGCGCAAGCTAGCTGTCAACATGGTGCCTTTCCCGCGACTCCACTTTTTCCTGTCCGGCTTCGCGCCCCTGATATCCCAAGCCAACAAAGACTTCAATGGGCTCACAGTGCCCGAGTTGGCCCACCAAATGTTCGACTCGAGAAACGTTATGGCCGCGTGCGATCCTCGCAACGGAAGGTCCCTATAACAGAAAATTCTTACAATTCGTGTGCTACAATTGTCATCTGGTGTTGTTTGTGCCGTCCAGCCATTCAAATGGTGCAAATTACATTGAGAATAAAAATTAAAAATTCCCTGGATTACCGTTGTAGCACAGGAATTTGAAGTAGTTTTTCTTTTTTCTCTCTCACTGTTACCAATTATGATTGTGTTTTATGGTTGCTTTGAGCGTGAAAATCTTCATCAGATACCTGACGGTGGCAGCGATTTTCCGGGGGCAAATATCTATGAAGGAGGTGGACGACGAGATGTTGAACGTCCAGAACAAAAACAGTTCGTATTTTGTCGACTGGATCCCAAACAACGTGAAGACCGCCGTGTGCGACATACCGCCCAAGGGGCTCCAGATATCGGGTACCTTCCTCGGGAACAGCACCGTCATTCACGAGCTCTTCAAACGCGTGTCCGAGCAATTCGCGGTCATGTTCAAGCGCAAGGCCTTCCTTCACTGGTTCACCAGCGAGGGTATGGAAGAGAACGAGTTTACCGACGCGCACGCCGACCTGCTCGATTTGATAGCTGAGTATCAGCAATACGAGACAAGCAGCGGCTCCGAGGCCAACGATTATAATGTGGCTAACATCGGCGACATGAGTGCCATCGAGGAGGAGACGGACGAGGAGGTGATTGTACAGGATTGACTGGGATGGGGGCGTTTATTTCGCCACATTTGGTCTGCTTTTTAAATTTTTCCCAGAGTTTACCTTCATTTTTACAATTATGGCTTTTTTTTGTTATCCTTTATTCGTACCATATTGGGAGTATTCAAATCTATGTGAGTGTTTTTAATTCTTATTTTGGCTCTGCGTAAAATTGCAAAGTGTGTTTTTGTACATCTGACGCCTCCTTTCTCACGGAAATGTACATTTTACCTCAAGTATCACTGATCATTGGTTTTCTTGCATAACCCGTCGTTAATTTGTCATGTGTGATCAGAGTGCAACAAGCAAAAAACAAAAAACAAAACAAAAAATCAAATTTACAATCGAACATGTTTTTTTCTTCTTCAGTGAAGAAAAAAAAAAAAAAAAAAAAAAAAAAAAAAAAAAAAAAAAAAAAAAAAAAAAAAAA